TGCCAGGAACATACAGTACATGAAGTTAGACTTATCTCGACAGACATGGTAAAACTCACTTCAAAATAATAATCATAAAAGTCACCACCTTCCTAATGTGTGAAATTGCAAGTCACTCAAATAAAACCTCACTGACAACTTTTCATATTCTCCTCAGTTTACCTACGAACATTTTCTGTTTCATAAAAGTCGCAGCATGCATGGCCACATTTCAAAAAGCCTCCTATGGCGTGCACACATAAAAAAAATGAGCTGAATAGAAGGATGTCAGATTTGATTTGCACCCTGGCACTTTGACATTTTCCCTTCCCTCGTTGTATTCACACAATGACTTTGATCTGCAGAATCTTTGAATGAAGTGACCCAGCAGGTTATTTGCCTGTGTGTACACAAGTGTGTACGTGAATGTGTACACGTGTACGCCCTCATGTTTATCCTATTTGTGTTCCAGATCTTGCAGCTTGCATTATTTCACTTTCATGAAAGTGGAAAACAAAACGCAAATGTAAAAATGATTGGAACATTTCAATAATTACCTGAGTAATTACTGACAAAAGGACAACTAAGTACATATCACACTTGGGCTTTGAGCAGACATTTGTACGAACAACAAAACCACCTCCAGGACACCTGACGTGTTCTTTCTGTATGATTAATTCCACTGCACAGCACCTCTAGTTAGATCCCCTTCAAATTAAGTCCCAGGGAATAATATCATGGAACCAAATCTATCTTTCTGATGATTCTGGTACGGCGTGGCTTTTACTGGTGGTGGAGATGGAGATAAGCGATAAGAATTTTGAAAAGGAACGACTGTCATGGTTACATGTGTCAAGAGGAACAGCTTCCAGAGGCTGAGAACAGAGCAGCGGAAAGGCTGGTCGTATGGATGGAAGGAACTGTGCTGCAGATAACAGAGGAAGATCTGAGAGTGTGAGCATTTATGTGAATGTGCAGAAGTTCCAAGAAGTGTGAAGGTAAAAGGTTGTGAATAGGTTTGATAGTGAGGTGGAAGTTTTTGAAATGGACACTGTAGATAACCAGGAGTCATTCAAGCTGCTAAAGAAGAGCTGATTGATTCATTGACGGGGTCCAGGAGATGAGGCATGCATTATTTTAGACAAGTTGACCAAAGAGAAAAGAATTGTAATAGTCAAGGGTTGGCCAATGCGAGCATGCGATATTTTGCATACAAGGAAGTTTACAGACCAAGTAATATTTTCACTGTGAGATTGGAAAAGGTTCTTGAGGATGATATTGAAATTGTTGACTTAAAACTGGAATGACCGACTGTGAAGGAAAATGCCCGTTCTGGTTTGGGTAGATTGAATGAGGCATTCACTTTTATCACTGTTCAATTTGCGACAGTTGTGTGCTAACCAGAATCTGATTTCCTATAAATAGAACGCGGTGTGGTTGAGATGTGTGTCATCTGTATGGCAATTAAGCTGGATGTTAAATGTACAGAAACTACGGCCAAGGAAAAGAAAGTGATGTGAAAGTGATAGAACAGAATGAACCCTAGAACAGAACCTTGAGAACCCTACAAGTGACAGAAAGTGGAATTTGATAGATTTGAATTGAAAGAACTGAGAGCGTCCAGAGAGGAATGATTTGAACTGTTTGAGGTCATTTGTTATGATAGCAGTAGAAAGCCGTGTCCAAAGGTGCACTCAGCTCTGGAAAAATGTCACTGGTTTAGAGTTGGCTATTTAACGGGATAAATGCAGTTCATTGTTTCACAGTATACATCAATGACCTAAAAAAAGAAGGATCAAGAAAAATCAGTGTCTGTTTGCACATATCAGTTTAAGGAATAATCTGTTTCAGATTTACATAAACATAATCTTCAGTGTACACCGCTCTTAATTGTGTGTACTTAGAAGAAAACAACATGCAAAATTAAGCGCTACCCTGTCCTCCCCCGTGTGTTATGTATGAACAGATGCTTTTCAGATGAGGCCGTTACATGTGTGCTCATCTACAGTATTTGCCACATTTAGCTGTGTTGTTTATCTGTCACGCTGCCTTACCACAGTGAAGAGCCAGCAGGATCACTGCAATAATTGAAGGTCAACATGCAGTGGTGGAGAGGAGGCTGATGTTAATGAGGCCGACATGCCAGGTGAAATGACAGAGCAGAGAAATGGCAGGGGAAGCTGCACTCCACCGGCCAATTCCATACCTTTGACTTTTGATGAGCAGCGTCTCCATTCGATTTATAGAAAATGGGTCATAAAGAAAGTTCACTACGCGTGGATCAAAACCTAAAAAAACACTGTATGCTGCTCTCGTCTTACCGAGGACTCGCTGTACAGTGCACATGTTACTGGAACTCGAGGCGGGTACTGAAATATTTTTGAAAAATTGATAGCATTGGGTTGATGTGACTCAGTGACTATTTGTCCAGATGTTGAAGAAGCTTTCAAACTACCGTTTGGTGTACACCCACACATCCATGACTGCATCATATAAATATGAAAGCAGGGTTAGGGTTTCT